TGCCCACCCTGGTTACCAATTCCCTGCTTTGCTGTAAAAACACCATGAATTTTTAACCCCGACAGCCCCGGGGTGGGTGCTGCTCCCCCAGCCCAGAGCTGTCCCGCTGTCATTAAGTTTTAATGAGGTGTGGGGACCCCCCCCTGAGTCCTGGTGGGGGGTTTGTCCCCTGAGCCCCCTCCGTCCTCCCCCCGCAGCCAGCAGAAGATCGAGCTGCCGGTGACGGAGAACGTGCAGACCATCCCACCGCCCTACGTGGTCAGGACCATCCTGGTGTTCGGCCGCCCCGGCTGCCAGCCCCAGTTCTCCATGTCAGAGCACATGAAGGTGGGTGGGTGGCCCCATCTGGAGCACTGGGACCAGTTCTGGGCTCCCCAGTTCCAGAAGGACAGAGAGGGGACAGTAAAGAGCTATGAAGATGATGAGGGGCCTGGAGCATCTCTCTGCTGAGGAAAGGCTGAGGGACTTGGGGGTTTTGAGTCTGGAGAAGAGAAGGCTGAGGGGGGATCTGATGAACATCTATAAATTCTTCAAAGGTGGGCGTCAGGAGGATGGGGCCAGTCTTTTTTCAGTGGGGCCCAGGGACAGGACAAGAGGAAATGGGCACAAACTTGAACATAAGAAGTTCCACCTCAATATGAGGAGGAACTTCTTCACCTTGAGGGTGGCAGAGCCCTGGAAGAGGCTGCCCAGAGAGGTGGTGGAGTCTCCTTCTCTGGAGACATTCAAACCCCACCTGGACACGTTCCTGTGGGACCTGCTCTGGCAGGGGGTTGGAGGAGATGATCTCCAGAGGTTTCTTCCAACCCCATGTGATTCTGGGATTCTGTCCCCCTGGATTCTCTCTCTCCGGGGTGAGCTCGGTGACTCCGGGTCCATCCCAACACCATTCCCTGCTTCTCCTCCTGCAGAAGATGCTGCAATGTCCCTACTTCTTCTTCGACGTGGTTTATATCCACAACGGGGTGGAGGAGAAGGACGACGAGACGAGCTGGAAGGTAAATACGGGACGGGGGGTGTCCTTCCTGGCGCCGTGTCACCTCGTCCCCACTCTGCCTGTCCCCTCATGTCCCCCCCCCCAGGAGATGTACGCCTTCTTCAGCAGCCTGGACACCAAAGGCACCAACTACAAGTACGAGGTGTCTCTGGCGGGGCCGGCCGTGGAGCTGCACAACTGCATGGCCAAGCTGCTGGCCCACCCCCTGCAGCGCCCCTTCCAGCCCCACGCCGCCTACGGGCTGCTGGGGGACGATGAGCCCCCCGAGGTGGAAGCCACCGTCTGAGAGCCCGGGGGGGGGACACACGGACACACACCAGGACAAGGAGGATTTTTTCCTGGGGGGGGAGATGGCCCACAAGGGTTGTGGCCGGTGTGACATGGGAGGGGGGAAAGAAAAGCGTGTCCCTGAACCGTGTGGTGCTGGTGCTGTGGGTCCTGCGGCGGGGCTGGGGGGGCTGCTGCTGCCCCACGGGGAGTGGGGGCCACTGGGTGGAGCTGGTGCAGGGAACTGGGAGCACTGGTGCAGGTTACTGGGAAGCACTGGGTGAACTGGTGCAGTTACCAGGAGGCACTGGGTGGAACTGGTGCATGGAACTGGGTGAACTGGTGCAGGTTACTGGGAAGCACTGGGTGAAGCTGGTGCAGGTTACTGGGAGGCACTGGGTGGAACTGGTGCAGGGCACTGGGATCACTGGTGCAGGTTACTGGAGCACACTGGGTGGAGCTGGTGCAGTTACTGGGAGGCACTGGGTGGAACTGGTGCAGGGCACTGGGAGGCACTGGGTGGAACTGGTGCAGGGAACTGGGAGCACTGGTGCAGGTTACTGGGGCACACTGGATGGAGCTGGTGCAGGGAACTGGGAGCACTGGTGGAGGTTACAAGGGCACACTGGATGGAGCTGGTGCAGTTACTGGGAGGCACTGGGTGGAGTTGGTGCAGTTACTGGGATGCTTTGGGTAGAATACGTGCAGGGCACTGGTGCAGGTTACTGGGAGACACTGGGTGGAACTGGTGCAGGTTACTGGGGCATGCTGGGTGGAGCTGGTGCAGTTACTGGGAGCAGTGGTGCAGTTGCTGGGAGACACTGGGTGGAACTGGTGCGGTTGCTGCGGAGGCACTGGGTGGAATGCCTGCAGGGCACTGGTGCAGGTTACTGGGGCTCACTGGGTGAACTGGTGCAGGTTACTGGGGCACGCTGGGTGGAGCTGGTGCAATTACTGGGAGGCACTGGGTGGAGCTGGTGCAGGTTACTGGGAGCAGTGGTGCAGTTGCTGGGAGGCACTGGGTGGAACTGGTGCAGGTTACTGGGATGCTTTGGGTGGAGCTGGTGCAGGTCACTGGGACGCACTGGGTGGAGCTGGTGCAGATTGCTGGGTGGAGCTAGTGCGGGTCACTGGGAGGCTCTGGGTGGAACTGGTGCAGGTTACTGGGTGGCACTGGGGGATGCTGGTGCAGGGCACTGGCAGCACTGGCGCAGGTTACTGGGAATCGCTGGGTGGAGCTGATGCCCTTACTGGGAGCGCTGGGCGATACCGGCGCCGGCCACTGGAGGGCGCCGCGGTTACCCTCCGACTGCTTCCTATTGGCCGCCCGCCCAGCCAATGAGCGGCGGCGGGACCGTGCGCGCGGGGGGTTTGAATGGGCGGGGGCGGGACGGGGCGCGCGTGCGCGGGGCGGCATGAACGGCGCGGGGCGGCGCGAGGCGTAAGGGGGGAC